TCTAGTTCAGTCCAGTAAAGATTCTCGTTATTTTGTCACGTTTATTGATAATCACATGAAAAAGAAATGGGTTTATTTCTTAAAGCAGAAATCTGATGTATTTGATGTCTTTAAGAAATTAAAAGCTATGGTTAGAAAATAAGACAGGCTTGAAATTGAAGTGTCTCAGATCAGATAATGGAGAAGAGTATTGTGATTAGAAATTCAGCAATTGTTGTGCTACATAGAGGGTTAGGCATGAGTTCAATGTCCAAAGACACTACAACAGAATGACGTAGTTGAGCGCATGAACAAAACAATCATGAAGCATGCTAGGAGCCGAAACAGGTTTGGGCTAGAGCAGCTAACACCACAATTTATCTGATTAATCGTAGTCCATCAGTAACTTTGAAGGAAGACTTACCTGAAGAAGTCTGGAGTGAAAAAAAGGTATGTTTATCTCATGTAAGAGTATTTGAAAGTTCTGCATATGTGCATGTGGATGCAGGTTCTAGAAGCAAGCTTGACTTGAAATTTTTCAAGCGCACCTTCATTGGATATGACTCATATAAGTTTGGATACAAGTTTTGGGATTGTCATAATAAAAAATTCATCAGGAGCAGGGATGTCACTTTCAACGAGATGAAGATGTACAAGGATAGGGTTAGAACTCAGGACAGTCTGTCAGCTACTTTTGAAGAATCTAGATATGTGAAGTAGATGATACTGATGATCACGAAGATGGAGAAAAAAGTTTTCAACCAGATGGAGAACAGGAAGTTCCTCAGACACCTACTATAGAAGTCAGGAGATCCAGCATAGTGAAACAACCCATACAAAGTTATTATTATTCTTTACACTATTTGTTACTAACTGATAATGATGAGCCATAGTGCTTTGAGAAAGTCACTCAAGTTGAAAATTTAAGGGAATGAGAGCTTGTCATGGATGAAGAAATGCAGTCTTTGGAGTTAAGTAAGACTTGGAATTTGACGGCACTACCAAATGGCAAAAGAGCGTTGCACGATAAATGGGTTTAAAGGCTAAAAGAGTAGTCAGGTGATAGCAAGCGCTACAAGGCAAGACTTGTTGTGAAGGATTTCCAGCAGAGAAAAAAAGTGGATTATATAGAAATCTTTTTCCCAGTGGTGAAGATAACGACTATGAGGCTTGCGTCGAGTCTGGTAGTAGAAGAATACCTACATCTTGAGCAGATGGATATAAAAACAGCTTTCTTACATAGAGATTTGGAGGAGAAACTGTACACGGTGAAGGCACAAGGTTACAAGACTCCAAACAAAGAAGGTTTGGTCTGCAAATTGAAGAACAGACTCTATGGCTTGAAGCAGACCCTGAGATAGTAGTACATCAGCTTTCACAAGTTTATGTCAAATAATGAGTACTTGAAGTATCAGACAGACCACTGTTGTTTCATTAAACACTTTGTATCTTTTGTATGCGGATGACATGTGTAGGGAAAATATGTAGAAAAGCAGGGTCTTGAAGAATCAGTTATCAAGTGAGTTTGAGATAAAATATTTAGACCCAACCATTAAGATCCTCAAAATGAGAATCATCAGGAACAAGAGTGCAAGAACACTCAAGTTGTCTCGGACAGAGTATGTTGAAAAGATCCTACAAAGATGCAACATGAGTAAGGCGAAACCAGTTAGCACTCCTTTAGATAGACAATTCAAACTATCTAAGGAGCTATCGCCTAACTCTGAAGCAGAGCAAGTACAGATGAAGAGAGCTTCGTATACTTCAACAGTTAGAAGTTTGATATATGCGATAATTTGTGTCAGGCCAGATATTACATATGCAGTGGGGTTCGTCACCAGGTATATGGGCAATCCAAGCAGACATCATTAAGAGACGGCAAAGTGGATTCTCAGGTATTTAATGAGAAAAGTCAATAGGGCAATTTGCAATGGAGGTGTAGGGATCGGTCAACAGTAATTCATGAACAGTAAGAGAAGTGCAATGGGATATATCTCACATTGAAGAACACAACAGTGAGTTGGGTTTCCATGTTGCAGAAGATTGTTGCATTTTCTACTACGGAGGCCGAATATATTACTATTACTGATGCTAGCAAGGAGAAGATTTGGCTACAAAGTTTCATGGAAGAATTTGGCAAGGAGCGGGGGATTGGAAGGTTCTACAGTGACAATATGAGTGTGACCTTGCTAAGAAATTTATTTTCATGTCAGGACGAAACACATTCAACAGGTATATCATTTCATTCGCTCTCTTCTTGAAGATGGGTAGTTTTTCTTGGAGAAGATACGCACAGCTCAGAATTCTGCAGATATATTGACAAAGGCGGAGACTGTTGAGAAACTGAATTTGTGTTTGACTTCAGTTAGATTTCATGAAGTTTGAGACTGGTTTCCATGTAAATTCTCATATGTTTTTCTGGTAGGTTTTGATTTTGCTTCTTTGCTTAAATTTATTGTTCCGATTTTCTCGAGTCCTATTATCCTATTCTGCGATGAAACTAGCAAGAAATTCTTTTCAGAGTAGTTTCTCACAACAGCTACAGGGTTGAATAAAAGTTTAAAATAAGTTGAAATCTGCATGAAGAATCGTGCACACATAATCTATCTTTTCAAAAATTTACTTCTCAAAATGACTAAAATTTAATACACATAGCACGCCCTCAAATAAGTCGGCTACTAAATTCAGCCTATATGGCAACGTCATAAGTCTCATCTTGGCCAATACGATCAGCCTCCTAACAAAAACTATACTTCATAAAACTAAGTTGTACTGAGTCAGTCCGATCCTCTTTCTTACAAGAGTTGAAACAGACAAGAATGATGCCCTCCAACATTCAATGATAATATTCAATCAAAGTTATAATTATAAATACTTTAAAAAGTTTCAATAATAGTCGTCTTGATCTGTCCAATTGGTGTAACTTCCTAGTAGGTCATCCAACCCATGAGTGACCTCATACGAGCACACTTAACCTTGGAGTTTTTGTTGAAATTCAAACCATCAAACCAAAAAGAGTCTTGTTGTTTAAGAGTTCATCTTCATTCTATTTAAATGGTTTCATAATCTCCCTCACTTAACTAAAGTTCATCCTCATCAACGCTCTAAACCCAACACCCGATTAATAAGATTCTAAAAGTGAGCCTTACAGATTCAAGACATGGCTCCCATCATATGCCATTTTATCCCATCCAGGGTTCAAGAGGAGACTCCCATGGTGTAACACTTTGTATTGTGTGTCATTTAACTCCTATCTTCAGGCTAGTGTAATGTTTTGATATTGTTTGTAATGACTTGAACTCTCACTCATCAAGATATTGTCCCTTTATCCTAATTGCCTCGTGATTTTGTCAAGTAATGTAACTTCCTAAGAAGTCAACCATCCCAAGAGTAATCCCATAAAAGCACACTTAACTTTGGTGTTTTTTTTTTTAATTTTAATCAATATACCAAAAAGGGATTCAAGGTGTAAGAGTTCATCTTCAATCTACTTAACAGGATTTCTTGTCAATGCTTTAAGCCCGACACCAGACAGATAAGAATTCCAGAGGTGGCTCCTACAAATTCAAGCGTTGGCTCCTAACATGTAGCATTTTTTCTCATCTAAGGATCAACAAATGGCTCTCATGGAGTAGCATTTCGCTCTATATGGCACCTAATTACCATTTTCAAGCTGGTGTAATGCTTTGATACTATTCATAACCGCCCAAACTCTCACCCAATGAGATTGTCCGCTTTGGCCTAATAACCTCACGATTTTGTCCAATTGATGTAACTTCTCAAAAGGTCACTCATTCTATGAATGCTCCCAAACAAGTATGCTCAACGTTAGGGTTTCTGTTAAAAATTCAATCGTTGCATCAGAAGACAACTTGTTTAAGGGTTCATTTCATTTTACTCAAGGGATACCATAATCTCTCCCGCTTAGATAATTGATATCCTCGTAAATACTCTAAGCCTAACACCAAATAGATAGGATTCTAGAAGCGACCCCTACATATCCAAGAGGTAGGTCCCACCAGTAGAATTTTGTCCCATCTAGGGTTTAAGAGGTGGTCCCCATAGCATAACACTTTATTATGTATGACACTAGTTCCCATCTTCAAATTGGTGTAATGCTTTGATACTATTTGTAACAGCCCAAGCTCTCACCCATCGAGATATTATCTGCTTTGATTTTGTCCAATTGAAGTAACTTCACATCTCATTGTTTAAGTGTTCGGTTCCATTCTACTTAAGCGTTTTCACACTTTATAGGACACGAAAGCTCATGTTAGTTAAAGTTGGCTTAAATTGTCCAATTATACAAACATCTACTACAGATCAACAAGGTGCCCTTGGACAACAAAAATCATTTGGTCAGGTTGGGTCGACTATCCTTTCTGACTAAATAGATCAGAGACTGACAATTCGAGACAAAGGAACTACAGGATCATAATCAAGTTCGTCACTATCCCCTCCCTCCCTCTTCTACCCACCAATATGCTCTAAACATTGTGATAAATTTATATAATACAAAATGAAAGTGTTGTTATTATATGCATAGTAATCAATGCCTTAATGTTTAGCCTTAAAAAAAAATGTTCTTCAGTTAGTGGGAAAGGCAGTTAATAATATGAGCTTGCGCCTAAGAGAAACCACAAATCTGATATCTAAAGTCCTCGTAAAATGAAGTTGAAATCTCACAGTAATGTTTTATCTATTGTCCTATCTGCCATATGAAAATTTAACGTGAAACCTCAATAAAACACTCTCTAATCATTCATTCCAAGAGACCAAGGCATGAAATTATGGAGCCCTCAACTGTGCGAAAAAATGGCTTACAGTCTTGTTATATTACCATTTCTAAAGGTAAAACAGTAAATACTATCCCTATGAAGCCAGATTAATGCTGGCATACAGCACATTATTCATCCAAGCAATTGAAAGGGGCTTGATTATGCCAATGCATTTCTTTTTGAAACTAATTATTATCTACTAAATTGGAACCTAAAATTTAAGAAATTTAACACAAAGCAAACCTGTGTACGCCCAGCATCAGCAACAATAAAAGTGGGAAGGCCATACTGATCAGCTGTCCCCTTCAACCTATTCCTGGTAACAAAAACCCAAAACAATAGAAAAAATTTTAAAATTCTGACATTTAAAATCTTTACTAAAATTTAAGTATTTTCTAAAAAAAATTAAAAATCGACAATGTCGCCATTCATAGGGGCGACAATATCTTTGAGCAGGTAATGTCGCCCATTTGAATGGCGACAATAGCCAATTATTGCCTCCATTATTGGGATAGGTGATTGCTAATCTGGCGAAAGCGTGAAACCCGGCGAAAAGCGCATGAAGTGGGGGTTTGATGAGTATAAATGATGCACTGACATTTCTAATTAAAAAGTGGAGCAATGACGGACATGTATCAGACACAGACACGAACACGGGTCTGACATGTGTCAGACACGGCAAAAAAGTGTCCAATTTAAACAATGTTTAAAAAAACAACAAGCACATAACACACGTGTAGGACACTTACGTTCTTAATTAATGAATTAAAATTTTTTGAAAAATATTTTTACGACTAAAACTAAAAAAAATTATGTAAATTTTCTTAAAGAAGATTAATATGCATACCACTCAATTTTTTTGTATTTACATATCTAATACCTATATTTTAATTTTTACATATATGTCACCTTACATATATATGAAAAATGTGTATTTAACATTTTAAATTTGAAAATAATGGTATACTAGACGTGATATGAAATATTTGGGTGGCACAAATGTAAAAATCAGAATTTATGTGTTAGATATGTACCTAAACAAGAATTTGGTAAAAAAGAAGCCATGACAATTTTATTTTTTTTAATAAATAGTTGATTATTAAGACTTAAATCTTGAAGTATCATGATATTATGTTTATTTTTTGTATGTCATAAACTAAATAATTATTAATAAACATTTTGAGGGCCTTTGTGATCATTTTGTTCTTAATTTTTAATTTTTATTTTTATTTGTTTATGTTTTGATTTAACTAAAATATGTTTGACTGAGGTCGTTACTTTTATAAAAACACAAAATATTTTTTATGCTTTTTGATTATCTTTAAATACAATTTAATTTATTTTTAAGATAAAAAATATAATACATAAAAATTGTATCAACTAAAGGAAGAAATAAAAGTGAGGTCGAACGAACTTCTAAATTTAAAAAGTTTATGTTATTAAATTTCTTATTTTATCTTTAACATTATTCTTAATTTTTTTTAATATAATAGCGTGTCTTACGTGTGTCTATGTCTTATATTTTCAATAATAGTCGTGTTTCGTGTCTGTGTCCCTATGTTGTATCCGTACAACACAGACAGATATGAAAATATGGGTGGATGTGATTTTTTAAGCCTATTTTCTCAAAGGTTTTTTTGTTTTTTGCAAGAGCTTGGGCTTTCCTTCGATAGGTGCTTATCTTTTCCTACATATGAGATATGTAATTTTGTTTTAAGATTTTATTTTCAATATGCTTTCTTTTTTTGTCTTGCAATCTATTGTTTAGCGTTTTTTAATTTTTTTTCATAATAATAATTGTAATTGTAATTGTCGCAATAACAATAATAATAATAATAATAATAATAACAACAACAATAATAATATAGTGGTAATAATAATAATTACAACAACACAAACAATAAAAACAATAATAATAATAATAGTAATAAATAAAAACACTAACAATAATAATAATAAAAGTAATTATATTATTAATAGTAACTATAATAATGATAGTACTGTATTGAAAAAGAAAAAAAATATAACAAAAAATTAAAAAAACAAAATAGTAATAAAAATGCTTATTATAATAATAATTATAATTTAATAATAATAATAATAGCAACAACAATACATTAAATAAGAAAAAATATAACATAAATGTTTAAATAATGAAAATAATTATTATATTATTAATAATTAGTGATAGTAATAATAATGGTTAATATTAATATTAATATTATTAATAATATCAATAACAATAATAATAGAAATACTAATAATATAAAAAGTAATAATAATACAATTGTGATATATAAAACAAAAAAATTTAAAAAATGTTAATAATAATAATAATAATAATAACATTTTAATAACAATCAGAATAATTATTATTATAGTAGTAATACAATTAATAACTATAATAGTAATAATAATATTATTATAGTAAAAAATAAAATAATATAACATAAAATTTTAAAAAATGATAACAAGAAGAATTACTATTACAACAACAACAATAATAATTTTATTATTAATATTATTATTATTATTATATTGATAACAAAAAACAAAAAAAAAAATTATTAAACTATTATTATTAATAACACTAATTAATAATAATATAATTATTATTATCATTTTTTAAATCACAGATGTATAAAACCAAATAATAATAAATTAAATATTTATTCAAACTTAAAAGCTTACACTAGGGAAGCTTATTACGGACTCGATAGAAGAGCCTACAAAAGAAGGAAACTAGGACAGAGCGCACCGAAAAAAATACAAATGAGCCTTCTATATAGCAGCAGACTCAGACTTCGAACTCAAAACTTATTACAATATAGTTAATTAGATTTCTTTCCGTGGAAGAAAGAATCAAAATAATGCACAATTCCTTCTTAAAAGAAAATATTACTTGTTGTATAAGAAAGAATCTTCATTATGTAAAGGAATAATTTTTAAGAGATTGCTTTTATAAAAATTATTGTTGCCACAGTTCGTTCTGTTTAGTTGGTTTGTCCTTTGCATCTGTCTTGGTCATCATTGTCGGTCACAGATCCTTCGTCGAGTGACGTGTCTTCTTAGTCACTCTCCAGAAAAAATATTGGAGCTTTGAATAACTCATGGAATTGCTCCTAATAGATCTCCATAAGGTGTCTCTGGATCCATTTTTCATTTTTATGATGGTATTTGCTATGAATACTTTCATAGATTTCTTTAATAGATGATCATTCATTAGCAAGAACTACTGATGAGGATTGTGAAACTTAGTAAGTTTGTATGATTGCCAAAGTGAAACTTAGAAGGATTGTGAAACTTAGTAAGTTTGTATGATTGCCATAATTTGATGAAGTTTTTCATGAATATTAAGTCAAGTCCACCATTTAAGTAAAATTGTCTTTACAAACACAAATAATTAGACGTATTTCTTCCTAGGGTTATAGTCCAAGCACAAACCCAAGAAATTTGAAAATCCTTAAAGAAATAAACAAAATTTTGTGCTTGCAATAAATTTCTCAGACTAATGTTTTTCATTTTTGGAGAAGTCTCAATCCATTCAGTATAGCAATCATTTAATGGTTTGGGTAAAATTTCTAGATTTGCTCAGAAATATCCCCATCAACGGTAGAACCAAACTAGTAGTTATCTGCTAACTATATCTTTAGTGACAATTATTAACCATGAAAGTTTTTGTATATGGTTTACCAAAAACAAAACCATCATCACTTGGACATATGCTTAGTAATTAACTGCAACTTTGTGTTGTAATTTTGCACTTAAGTAAATAAGTCTAACTTAGAATATAGTTAAACCTCAATGCTTATGGTGAATAACATATCGAGTTGCAATATCTTTAGCATGTTCAATGGTGACACATTTTAACTGAACTAAAATTTTGTCATAAGCCTCTATGATGAAAGGCTCATTAAAAAAAGGGGTTATTTCTCAAATATCTTTCAAATAAAGGCTTTGAATTATTTATATGATAATTCCCAATATTTATATCAATAATGTTTGGTTTGATCAGCATAGTGACATAAACTGGTTCAGATGCTACGACTTTTCTTTAGGGAAGAAGTAGATTTAGTATATGATGGTTCTCTTTTTTTCTGAATTAGAAGCAGAAGCAGGAGTTTTTCCGTAAAGAATTTTCAATAGGTCAATTGTACATCTAGCAGCGGTAAAATTCGTCACATGACTTCCCCTCTCCCCTCCCTCCCCGCGAGGGGAAGCACCACCTCTAATGTTTGGATTAGAGGGAGGCAATCAATGTCGATGGGGGGTGAACTACCCCTGAAGATCCCTGCAAAAATATTCACGGGCTAAGAAATCGAACAGAGAGTTAGAAGTGCTTTTAATATATTCAATGTCAAAGTCAAAAATAGATAATTGAGCTTGTCAAATAGCAAAAATCTGTTTGGAAGCTAATTTTTTAAAATTTTTTGGTAAAATAAATTTGACAAAAGAGCAATTAACGTGAAGTAAAAATTTTTATTCAAAAGATCATCTTGAAATTTTGAAATACATTTTACAACTGATAACATTTCCTTTTTAATAGTAGAAATTTTCATTGGGCAGGATTCTACTTTCCTAAGGTAAAACGAATTAATTCTTCTTTTTTAGACGAATTAATCTGTTTTAGAATGATATAACCAAGTTAGAGGCGTTTGTTTCAACTATTTTAAAGAAATCAGAATTAGCGAGTGTTAAACAATTAATTTTTTTGTACAGCTAATAAATGAAGATTTGTCTAATGAGGATGATTTTTCTTTAATCGATTGAATAATGGAGCAGCATCAATTGTCTATAGAAATCGACTACATAATTTAGTGCTCCAAGAAATCTTTGTACTTGATTTTTATCAATAATTTGATCATTAAATTTGTCAACAAATTCAATACTTCTATTAATAGGAATAATAGAGGTGTTTGATATGTTGTGTCCCAAAAAACTTATGTCAGTCTGAAGTAATTTGATCTTTGGGGCAAAAATGACTAATCCAGCTCGTTGGATTATCCATTTAAAAATTTTTAAATGTTTAAAGTGTTCTTCAAGCGCTTTGGGGAACACCAAGACATCATCAATATGCACAATGATTTATTTAAATTGTTCTTTGAATATATCATTCATAATATGTTGAAATTCAAAAGGACCACTTTTCAGTTCAAAAGGCATAACATTCTGTTTTATATCTATCCTCTTCTTTGATTTGATATGCCAGTAACCAGATTTTAAATCAAATTTAGAGCAGATATAAGTTTTATGTAAGAAATTAAGCAAATCCCTTTTATTAGGGATAGGATATCAAATCCATTTAAAAACTTTGTTAAGCGGCTTATAATTAATTACAAGCCAAGCTTTGTCTCGTTCCTTTTCAGCTGCAGTCATAACATAGAATACAGTGCATGACCAGGGCAAATAACAATTTCTTATTAACCCTTTTGATAATAAATCAGACAATTTTATCTTGCATACTGCAAGATGGGAATCGTTCATCTGACAAGGACTTTTGTTGATATATTCATCTCATTAAACTCTTCAGTATATGACACGACAACTATATGAATTTTTATGTTCCAAAAAGCAATAGGATTTTCTCCACAAATATTCTTTTGGAAATATTCTAATAATTTAGATATTTTCAAGTGAATATTTTGAGATTTCAATTGAGTTTTAAAAGTTTTCTCAAAAACTTCTTTTAAATAATTAATATGTAAAAAATTATTTTTAATTCAATTCATTTCATTAATATTTACTTTTTGAGGATGAGTAATGAAATGAAATGTAATGTATTTATCCAAAATGGTTCAACTAATGTCATTTTGATTGATTTTTTGAATAGGCATTATTTGCAACAAAAAAGGAGTACCAAATATGATGTGCACTGGGTCAAATTTTTAACAAGTAAAAATGAAGTAATGATACAAATATTTGAATTATAGATAACTGTATTAGAAAATTTATATTTAATCTGCATTTGATCATCACTAGCAGAGGTTAATCGTTGAGCAGTTTTTTCAAAATATTTAGAAGGAATAAGCCTTTCTTGAATACAATTCATGCAGCACCACTATCAATAAGTGTTACTAAATTTGATAAAATGTATTCTCTATTAATAATTAATTTCATAGAGAAATATCATTTATGCATAATAGTCTTTTGAATAGACTGAAAAAATTGTTCAGAGGGAACATTTTCTTCAATCGTATATTGCTGATATTATTTTGTTTCAATATCAATCATCCATTCATTAATGTTTTCTCGATCACTTTTAATGATGTTAATCTCATTTTTTAATTAATTAATTTCATTTTTAAGATCATTAATAGTGACTTCTTTTTGTTTTTCTTTAATTTTCTTATATAGTTCTTTTAAAGAGTATATAGGAAAATTCTTGCTTGGATCCTCAGTATTCATATCTTTTTTTCTCAAAAAGTTTTAAAACTTTATTTTTAGTAGAAATATCTTCAATTTATGGAAGAATTTTTATTATGTCTTCCTTCTGTTGATATGTCAAGGTGAATAATCCTGACATTTCAACAATATTTATATAATAATTTGAATTGTTGCAATCTGGGTAACAGCTAGAAAAACTTTGATTTTCATCTTCGAATAAGGAAGATAATAATGCATAGATTACTTCCTCAGATGAAGTAGATTATGAGTTTGCTAATAGAAGATTCATGAGAGTTTGACGAAGTGTTTCATCAATTTTAAGTTCATTAAGTCTTTTCTTAGTAGTGCAACGATTAGAATAGTGACCTAATCGCCCATACTTAAAACATTTAATTTCTTTCTTCTTCTGGCATCTAGAAGTAGAATTTGTAGGTTTTGAGGAGGATTTCATCTTTTCCCATTTCTTTTTTTTTTGGAATAATCCTTTTATTATTATTATTATTATTATTACTACTACTACTACTATAATCATATTAATAATTTTTTTATTAAATAAATTATTAAATTGCTATGCAATAGTTTGCAAAAATAAAAGATGCTAAAAGAAAAAAAAAATCTTAAGACAAAATTACATATCCGTATGCAGGTAAGAAAATAAGAATCTATCGAAAACAGGCCTGAGCTCTTACAAAATTCAAAAGAACTTGCAAAAAATGGGGTGAAAAGATTACCTCCACCCCTCCAATAATAAAAAATATAGAAATAAAAAAAAATCTTAAAGACAAAATTACATAACTTGTATGCAAAAAAAAGAAAAAGGAACCGGTCGAAAAAAAGCCTGAGCTCCTACAAAATTCAAAAAAAACTTGGAGAAAATGGGGTGAAGAAATCACCTCCACCCCTCCTTTTAAATCCATCGAACCCCACCCTCTTGCCAGACATAAGCCACAGTAATAAAAGATGCAATGATTGCTAGTTGTCGCCATTCAAATGAGCGATTACCTGGTCAAAGAAATTGCCACCCGATTGAACGGCGACAAGTCAATTTTATTTCTTATTTTTTAATGTGAAATGTCAGAAAAGATTCTAAATATGTCAAATTTAAAATATTTTTTATATTCAATGTATGCTTACTATAAGATAACATTAAAGAAACGCAGCATTTCCAACAATGCTACAGTTACCAGTCATCTTCATGAAAATAAGGAAAATATAATTACAAAATGGTAGGAATAATACTAACATTTCTTGTTGATTCTTGCAAGTGACAACTATTTTGGGCTGTCCACACTGTTCCCATTGTCTTAGCAGAGAACGATTGCTGCAGAAGAAACAAAAAGGATAGAAAATTAACGCAGGCAGACGTCAAATTTTGTTGGAAGGAAACCTCAAGTGCATACATCTTGTAGTGTATAGATCTTGTAGTCCATGCCAGTAGAAAAGGCTTAACGATCCCACAAAGCAAGAACAAGAAAATCCTAGCAGCAATATATAGAAGGAAGATTTACTTGCATACCACTCAATTCCTATATATTTACATTACTAACAGCTAAACTTCAATTTTTACATATATGCCACCTCAGCAATGCATGAAAAGGTGTATTTCACCTTTTAAAAGTCAAAATAGTGGTATTTTAACGTGATATGAAAGATTTGGGTGCTTAAAACATAGAATTTAGGTGTTAGACATGTAAATATAAAGGAATTGAGTGGTACGTAAGTGCCACAAAATAGAATGAGAAGAAATTCCTTAGAAGGCCAGTTGCATTCATAACCAATCATTCAAAGTAAACAAAAACAGTAGCATTCTAAACAAAATATTTAAGCCACAGCCAAATGAAACAACTAGAACGTAGTTTTGGCTCTATTTTTACTTTCCTTAATCACTGTCCATTAATTCCATATCATCATCTGCATCATAACCCTTAATATAACTCTATGGGATTGGCTTTAAGCGTCCCCCTTCATTCCATGTAGACTACAATGTCCGGATTAAAAAATTGAGGCATTTACATACATAGCACACAATTCTTACGTTTTTACATCTCTAACACTTAAGCTTTCATATTTATATACATAGCACTCAAAACTTTAATATCATATCAAAAATAGCACTATTACCACTTTTTCAAGGTGAAATACACCTTTTCGTGGATAGGATTAGAGCGCCAAAGTGCTATTTATATAAATATGAAAGTTGAGATATGGAAATACATAAGAATTGTGTGCTACAAATGTAAATTTCCCTAACAAAATTATGACCGTCAATAGTTTGGAAAAAGGTGCTACTCTGCAGAGCACATTACTTTTCAGATTGCAATGCAAAAACAAAGCAATCATATTACTTGTATGATTATGTTGAATGTGAATGGTAATTAGGCCCCATGCCCTGACACAGACAACTCTTTGGTGTCTTAGTTTTTAAAAGTTTTCATGTTATTACTTAAACATTTCTAAATTACCAAAATACACTCAGACTAATGAAAGGAAGGCCATAGATAGTCATTATCTCTTAGCTTTCAATAAGAGAAATCATAATATCTGAGTTATGAGCTAGATATTTTGGTTCACGCTTTATTATAAACACATTCAAGGCGTTCTATAGATGGCCATTTAATTCATCTCAGTTTCAGAAATGGTTTTAGGGTTAAGATTAAAAACCTGCAGTAGCCATGATTATTTTATGGTTGAAATATGGAAGATAAACTGAATTCAAAAACACAAATTCTGTCTTGGATCACATTAAAAACAAGGAGCGTTTACATGCATCCAATTCCTATGTACTTGCATATCTAGAGCCAAAACTTTAGTTTTTATATTTATACCACCCAAATCTTTTATGTCACATAAGAAATGGCACCGTTTTAACTTTTAAAAATTGAAATACAGTTTTTCTTGCATAGGTAAAATGGCCTATAAGTAAATTTGAAGTTTAGGTGTTAGATATGTAAATACATAGGAATTAAGTGGTATGCATGAAAATATTCCTAAAAACAAATGCTTAGCCTGGTTGATAGCACTGGAGCCCTTTACGTACATAAGAGATCAAACCAGAGGTGCCTCCAAATTTTGTACTCATTTTTAAGTCAAGCTTTTAGTATTTTTTGTTTAAAACACTCGTCAGGTCTTTTTTTTTTCCTTTTTTTTCTCTTTTTTTTTTTTTATAAATTTTGCGCAAAGGTCAGTTGTCTACTGTTATAGGGCTAATAACGCATCCAATAAAATGTGCTTTGTCTACAAAAGTCGATGCATTACAGAAAAATATACATGTTTTCTTAATACTACTATGACTTATTTCTAATTGAAGTAAGAATGAAATTTGTATGCTCTTGCAAATTGTAAAAGAAGCTTGGTGATCTGTTCCTTTTGTGAAACTTGGTGGCCAAACCTTCCCCATTCAGGTTTTGCTGAACCCCACACTTATCTTAGTAATTAGTTTTTCTATCCCTCTATATACTCTCTGTTACCTTCTCCCTCTCACCTAAATGCTTAGCCTCCACGGGAATCCAAGCCTAGCCAACCCTAAGTCCCCTTCAACAACCCCACATTTTCCCTGCATCATCCTAAACTCTTTAGTTCACTCCTATCAGAACCCTTAAGCCAACACTATCACCTCCAATAAATACCATATTTAGTCATTTTGCTTATGGGACATTTACATACATACCACTCAGTTCATATGTATTTACCTATCTAACATCTAAACTTTGATTTTTACATTTATACCACCCAAATCTTTCATATCACATAAAAAATATCGCTATTAGCTTTAAAAAAGTGCAATACACTTGTCCATGCATAGTTAAGATGGCACGTGTAAAAATTGAAGTTTATATGTCAGATATGTAAATATATAAAAAAAGTGGTATACATGCCAATCTTACTTTATTTATTTACCATCATATTGTTATCATTGCCAAGGTCTCCAAGAGTTTTCCTTTTCAGCAAACATCAAAGGAACTTGAAGGCACATTAAGGAGGACCAATTTCAACATAAGAAAGAAAAACATCAAACATCAACAACAAAAACTTCAAAGCAAGTGATTATTGCTTCTCCTTCATTGGGTAGCAATTGTATATCCTTTTAATTTCAAATTCTTTTTTTTTTCAGAGTAAGTTATGCATTAAAATCTACAAAATGGGCAAGTTAGCCGGCAACTCAAAAGGTAAATTTCTGGGTCATCCCACTAATGACCACTACAAAAAGGCGAAGCAAATCCTAGCACAAAGCTCGCCCCTTTTATTGATATATGAGTCACTTGATGTGAGGGGAGAGTGTGTGTGTAATTTAGACTTCCCTCCAATCAATACATATTATTCTTGCATCTATCAAACTACATTTTTTTTTTTTTTCAAAAGCACCTTCTCGTCTTCATGTCTACATTTCACTGTCCCCAAAATCACTATCTTTAAATATTGTCATAAGTGTCATTAACTAAATCATATTTAGTTGAGCCTTTAGCCTCTTGTTAATGTTGTTTGAAGAACGTAATTAATGTTTGTGAAGCATAAACCTCAATTTGTGCAACATTGGTCACAAATAGTTTTCAATGACCTTAAATAATTTTAGGCATGTAAGATTAGTCAATTTTAAAAAAGAATGGCCAAAATATAGTCTTAGTTGAACTTTTTAGAAAAATATTTTTATATCAAACACAATAATTAAAGAAGCGTCGTGGCTCAAAATTGTAGCAATACCATTTAGGTATGGATGATTGCAAAACGAGTGCACTCAAACGGGCTCTATCTACTCTATGAAAGCATCCAAGATGTACCTCCTTCTAACACAAAGATATCATTTTTCTATCCTTTTTTGTTATAATTGACTCACATTTAGCTAAGGCAATGACAAATTTGTAATACCATAGAAGCTATTAAAGAACTATGGAAGCTTCTAATTTGGTGAACCGGGTCTACTTGAGAGGCCTCATCTTGTTATAAATAAATAAGGGAGGCTTGTAGAGAGGAAACTACAAGGACTAAGAAAGAAATTAAACCAAGAAGACCAAGAAGAGGAAGAAAAGAACAGGAAGAAAATCAGTCCTAGTAGAAGAAGAAGAAGGGGAGAGGCATTAAGAATTGAGAGAAAGAGTCTTAGATCTTGTATCGAGGTAATTTCGAGAGGGAGAGATTTAGAGGTGTGCTCATTCCTCAATGTAAAAAACCTTGTATTTTTTTTTTTTTTGCCTTAGTGGATTTGTTGGTGATTCCCTCCCGTGGATATAGGTCTATGGACCGAGTCACAAAATTCGTTGGCGTTCTTGTGTTCTTGTGTTATATTTCATTTCCTGCAGTTTTCTTTTATATTTTCCTTATTTACTGCTTGCTCGTTGTGGTTTTTTTTCTTTTCCCATTCGTCTGTCCAGATAGTCGAAGAACCTGCTAGGTGGAATTCGGCATTTCTTGCTACAGCCATTCGGTTGTCCTGCAAGTCCTTCAATTAGAGAAAAACAGTCCAGGTTCCGCAATTAAGGTTCTTGAAGCCCTGCAAGTGGCCTTCTAACTGCAGATGTTCTTTAGCAAGGAATACAACAAGGTATTCTTGGACAATCCAGTCCTTTGCACCAAGGTAATCTTCAGCCTGCAGGAACTCTTAGGTCTGTGCGAACTGTAGGCGTCTCCTGGCTACAGTCCTGGTTCTTGGACTGCAAGGTTTACAGCAGCTTGCAGGTGTTTCTTAGGTTGTCCAAACGAGAAGCAGGAATTCGACTACAACTTACAAGAGGGGTTCGGCACTTCTAACAATAAGTTCAGCAATCTGAGTTCTTTGGAATATATCAGGTGTTTGGTGGGGCAAGCTTTCACAACAATTGACGTCTGTGGGAATCCTAACCACAACAATGGGCTCCGTCAAATTCGACATCGAGAAATTCACGGGAAAGAACAATTTCGGCCTGTGGAGAGTGAGATGAAAGCTATGTTGGTGCAGCAAGATTTTGCAGAAGCCTTGCAAGGGCCGGCGGCATTACCGGCCGACATGACCGAGAAAGAAAAGAGTGGGATTCTGGATAGGGCTCACAGCTTGATAATCTTGAGTCTTGGCGATAAAGTTCTGAGGATAGTTTCGAGGGAGACGACGGCTCAAGCGCTTTGGGCCAAACTCGAACTGCTCTATATGACGAAATCTTTGACTAACAGAATCTTCTTGAAGCAACGCCTGTACTCTTTCAATATGCATAAAAAGAAATCCGTCTCAGAGCAAATTGATGAGTTTAACAAGATTATTGATAATTTTAAGAATATCGGTGTCAAGATGGATGACAAGGACAAGGCATTGCTATTACTAAATTTCATTCCTAAGAGCTACGAGCACTTCAAAGATACAATGCTCTATGGAAGGATGCAAACAATCTCTCTAGATGAGATTCAATCGTTGATCAGAGCCAAAGAACTTCAAAAGAAGCATGAGATGAACAAAAAAATCAGCGGAGGTAGTCTTACCATTGAAGGAAGATCGGACAAAAACAGATCAAGATCAAGAAAAGAAAAGGGTGGGAATCAGTCGTCGAAGGGATCTTACAAGTGTCACTATTGTCAGAAGGAAGGTCACTTCAGGAAAAACTGTCCGGGGAGGAAGAAAATTTTTCAATAAAAGTCTAAAGCTCCTGGAGAAGCAAGCATAGCCTCAGACGGCTATGATTCAGCTGAAGCCTTCGTGATCACCGAATCAGAATCCAGCAAGGAGTAGATCCTCGACTTAGGGTGCTCTTTCCACATGTGTCCTCATAAGAACTGGTTCGAGACACTGCAACTAGAAAATAGTGGGTTTGCACTACTTGGAGATAATAAGACTTGCAGGGTGGTCGGCAGTGGAACAATCAAAATAAAGATGTTCGATGGAGCCGAACGAATACTGCAACATGTCGGGTGCGTTCCTGAACTCAAAAGAAATGTGATTTCTATAGGTACACTGGAGTCAAGTGGATACTCGTTCACGGCAAAAAGTAGTTTTGTCAGAGTAGTCAAAGGTTCTCTCATCGTCATAAAAGGAGTCAGGAAAAATGGGCTTTACTCCTTAGTTGGAAGAACCGTGATTTGTAACTTCTCTAATGCAGTTCAATCAGAACCCGACAGGACTAGGCTATGGCACATGAGACTGGGGCATGTAAGTGAAAGAGGCTTACAAGAACTGTCTAAACAGAACCTGTTATGTGGAGATCAAGTCAAAAAACTGAAATTCTGCGAACAATGTGTGTTAGGGAAGACTATCAGAGTGAAATTCTCTACCAGAACTCACACAACAATGAAACCACTTGATTACGTACACAATGATCTCTGGGGTCCAACAAGAACTCAAACTCATGGAGGAGGGAGGTACTTCATGTCCATCATAGACGACAACACCAGAAAGGTATGGGTCTTTATCCTAAAAACAAAAGATGAAGCTTTTCAACGGTTCAAGGATTGGTTAACTCTCACTAAAAACAAGACGGAAACAAAATTGAAGCACCTGAGAACTGACAATAGCTTGGAATATTGTTCAGAGCAGTTCAATGAGTTATGTAGGAAGAATGGCATTACAAGGCACAAGACAGTTCGGAACACCCCTCAACATGATGGGTTGGCTGAAAGAATGAGCAGGACTCTCTTAGAGAGAGTGAGGTGCATGCTTTTAAACGTCGGTCTACCCAAAACTTTCTGGGGTGAAGCTGTGTCGACCGTCTGCTATCTTATCAATAGATGTCCATCAACAGCTATTGGAATGAAGACTCTTTTGGAGATGTACGGGAAACCAGATAACTATGATAATCTCAAAGTTTTTGGACGTATTGCATATGCTCATGTTAAACAAGATAAGCTGGAGGCAAGAGCTTTGAAGTGCATTTTCATCGGCTACCCTCCTGGAATCAAGGGTTACAAACTGTGGTGTCTAGATCAACAGAAATGCATCATCAGTAGAGATGTAGTATTCGATGAGTCTAAAATGGCAAACCTGCAAAGCTATGTTGCCAGAAATAGTGCTACTAAGAAGGATATTTCAATTGCGGTGGAGCTGCAACAACAACAAACATTGACGGATCAAATGATTGATGTGAACAACCAAGATGAAGTGGCAGAAGACCAGCAAAAAACTGAAAAGACCAGCAAAAAACTGAACCAACCAGAAAGCAGATCAAATGACTACAGTTTGGTGAGAGATAGGCAGAGAAGAACCATCAGACCGCCAGGGAGATATGGTCATGCAGATTTGATCTCCTATGCATTGAGCGTCACATAAGAGATAGAAGAAGCAGAATCGAATAGCTACAAGGAAGCTCTAAAGAGTAAAGAAAGACACAAGTGGGTAGATGCAATGGATGAAGAGATAGCTTCTCTAATAAAGAACAAGACTTGAGAACTTGTGGATCGACCAAAAAACCAACGTGTAGTGGGTTGTAAGCGGACCTTCAAGATGAATGCATGTCAGGCATTGAAGAGGTCGGGTATAAAGCAAAATTTGTAGCAAAGTGATTCACATGGGTAGAAGGAATTGATATGCTCACCAAGTTGTTACCTACGGCTAAGTTCAAATACTGTATGAACTTAGTGAACTCAACCAGGGGCTGAGAGCCCCATCGGGGCTAGATGGAGGGAATCGTTATTACGGAGCTTTGTAAATGAGAGTCAAGGTAGCGAATTGTTAAAATTGACTCGCAATTAGCTAAGGTAATGACAAATTTGTAATACCATAGAAGCTATTAAAGAACTATGGAAGCTTCTAATTTGGTGAATCGGGTCTACTTGGAAGGCCTCATCTTGTCATAAATAGATGAGGGAGGCTTGTAGAGAGTAGACTACAAGGATTAAGAAAGAAATCAGACCAAGAAGGCCAAGAAGAGGAAGAAAATCAGTCCTAGTAGAAGAAGAAGAAGGGGAGAGGCATTAAGAATTGAGAGAAAGAGTCTTAGATCTTGTATCGAGGTAATTTCGAGAGGAAGAGATCCAGAGATGTGCTCATTCCTCAATGTAAAAGGCCTTGTAATTCTTCTTTGCTTTAGTAAATTTGTTGGTGATTCCCTCCCGTGGATGTAGGTCTATGGACCGAACCACGTAATTCATTAGCGTTCTTGTGTTCTTGTGTTGCATTTCATTTCCTACAGTTTTCTTTTCTATTTTTCCTGTTTACTGCTTCCTTGTTGTGGTTCTTCCCATTCGGCTATCCAGCTAGCCATTCGGCTGACCAGGTAGCTGAAGAACCTGCTAGGTGGAATTCGGCATTTCTGGCTACAACCATTTGGTTGTCCTGCAGGTCCTTCAATTAGAGAAGAATAGTCCAGGTTCCACAATTAAGGTTCTTGAAGCCTTACAGGTAGCCTTCTAACTGCAGGTGTTCTTTAGCAAGGAATTCTTGGACAATCCAGTCGTTTGCACCAAGGTAATCTTCAGCCTGCAGGAACTCTTAGGTCTGTGCGAACTGTAGGCGTCTCCTGGCTACAGTCCTGGTTCTTGGACTGCAAGGTTTACAGCAGCTTGCAGGTGTTTCTTAGGTTGTCCAAACGAGAAGCAGGAATTCGGCTACAGCTTACAGGAGGGGTTTGACACTTCTAACAAGAAGTCCAACAATCAGAGTTCTTTGGAATATTTCAGGTGTTTGGTGGGGCAAGCTTTCACAGCACTTTTCTTTATACAAACTATGCTCGTGTTCTAAAATCAGGGCATGCATAAATGATTTGTTAGCCAACAAACTTTTAGGAAGGTTTACATCCATACCACTCAATTATTATGCTTTTACATATCTAACACTTAAAACTTTAATTTTTACATATATGTCACATTACCTATGCATGAAAGCACTTTTATAAGCCAGAATAGTAGTATTTTCTATTTGATGTGAGAAAATTATGTGACATAAATGTAAAAAAAAATAAAGTTTAGCTGTTAGATATGTAAATACATGCTAATTGGGTGGTATGCATGTAAATGCCCCAACTTTTTATAGCTGCCAGGGTTGATTAAATCAATTGCATGGGAAAAAAAAACAAAAAAAAGCAACAATCTAAAGCTAATCAGCAAACTCAAGATTTTTAAATCTAAACAGAACCTTTGCAATAACTCCGCATACATTCCGGTAGCTGCATCTGCAAATCAACGAGGGCAAATAACATAAACTCGTCTCAGTAGAAAAATCATGAAACTAAACTTTCGGTCCACCCCATAGGGGTTGAATAACTTAATCGAGTGATAGTTTGACTTACGAGCGCACTGAGAGGCGATTTTACCGGCGCCCATCTTCAAGTCTTGCCTGACAACTAACACCTGTGGTTTTACAGTAAATTAGCGTCATTCAAAATATCAAAAATGACAAAACCTTTTACCCCAATAAAATTACCACTCGGGTAACCACAAACAGTAATGACGTTCAAACAAGCAAACCATTTTAAGCTCATCGCTGCCACCAGTGCCACCGCCATCAAATGATCCGTGCTTCAGCTTCGCCGTAGCGGCGGATGAGTTGCGCTTTGAATTTCGCAGTCTGGATCCGGCGAAATCGACGAACAACCCTAAGAGGAAACCGATTATAAACCCAGGCAGGTAGTTCTCCGGCTTCAAGCCCGCGGCCAGCAATGGCTCTTCCACCTGTCCATAAGGCAACGTTAGAGATTAAACGAGGGTTGGACCAAGAGAGAGAGAGAGAGAGAGATGGGGGTACTCTTCGTGGATTTTTTGTTTGATTTCGAGGAGAAAACATGATTCTTCGCTGCTTACAGAATGAGTTCTTGCGCCTGCTCGAAAACGAAGACGCTTGCAATTTCTACAGCTTGGTGGGGAAAATTTATTACATCACTACTTCACAGCTACATGCGTAGTCAATAAATAAAAATAAAAAAAACTATGACTTAACAAAAAAGAATATTCTCTAGATATTATTCATAACACAATAATACATAAATAATATATGAATAACATACAATAATATCTGAATAATACGGGGGAAATATTCTCCCGTGTTACTGGTAATATCAAGACGAGAAAAACAAAAAATATGTCTGATAACACGGGTGTTATTCAAGTGTTATTGTATGTTATTCATGTGTTATTGTGTTATTATTACACCAAGAATATTCTCAGAACACATGAATAGCATACAATAACGCGTGAATAACACGTGCGAATATTTCTCCCGTGTTACTGGACCGTTTTTTTTCTTTCGCGTGGCTTGATTTTATTAGCTACGCGCGTAGCTCTAAGTGTGTAGTACTGATGTAATATTTTTTCGGTGAAGGGCCATGGAAAAAGAAAATTAAAATTTTATGTATTTTATAAATAGTATTAAAAATTTCATATTCATTAGCATAATGCTTAAATCTTTAAATAATATTTAAATTATCAATAATATTAACTTATTTAAAATAAATCACAAGTTTGTAGATGTATTTTGATGCAATTGGACATCAAAACAGTGTAGAAATAAATATTAAATTATTAAATTTATAAAATAAAACCATATTATTTTCACCTGATGTATTTTTATTTTCTTTAGTTTAGTTTTTTTTTTTTCTAATGATGGGCTTAGTTTAGACCAACCTTTAAACATAAAAAAAAGGAGATAGTCAAGAAAGCATGCATAAATATATAAATTATAACAAATTATTGTTCGCATTGTTGACAGTTCAACAAGTGGTATTCAAATTTTTTAAATATGTTTTCTTCTTTATTTCTTTTTTGGCTAAACTTAATTGTTTTAGCTTTAATTGAAATTAAAGAGTGTCATATGCATATTAGATCTCAAAGTTAAAGATATTTTATAAGCAACAACAATAGCAAGTTTATCCCACTAAGTGGGTGGGCTACATGAGTCCTTTTTTCTCCATTGTGTCCTATTGAGTATCATGTTTTCATTTAGTTCTAATAGATTGATATCATTTTTTTTATACAGTATACTCGGACTACCTATGTTTTTCTTAACATGAGTCGAATCTAAAACATCTACTCTCCTAATCGAGTCCTTAGATGGTCAACGTATAATGTGACAAAACCATCGAAGGCGTCTATCTAATCTTGTCCGCCACTGGAGCTACCCCGACCCTATCACGAATATATTCATTTCGCATTTTTTCTCTAAGTGTCAGGCCGCCCACCCATCTAAGCATTCTCGTCTCAGCAACACTTAAATTTCTTTTATGTTTCTCTTTTAAAGGCCAACATTATGCACGATAGAGCATTGCAGGCCACACCACCATCTTATAATTTTTTTTGTTAGTCTAAGTAAAACTTTTTCTATCATACAACAGACCCAATGCATTCTTTCACTTCAACTGAAAAACTTGAATTCTACTAATAACATTCTCGTTTATATCAACTTCATTTTGAACAATAGACATGATATATCTAGAACGTTCACACCTTTTATTAACTTGATCACCCATAATTAGAACTCAACCACTAGAGCGACAACTATTAAAATTATATTTCATGTATTTAGTTTTAGTTTGACCCAAACGAAGGCCTTTAGACTCTAATGTAGACCTCCATAATTCATTTTTTTATGAACTCATGTCGGCTATTATTTTTTTAAAAATAAGATTTTAAAATTTAAATTTAGTATATGATATAATTTTAATTTTGTGAAAATTGTATTCTTTATTTTTGAAAAATGATGAGACTGGATATACCTCAAATATATAATAATTTAAATAGCTGAGCATGATACCATAAATGATATATCATCTCGAATGATGATCGTATCACTTATTAGTAGACTTAATTATCTAAACTTATAAGTTTATGACTTTATTTTGGTCTGCAAATTTATAGCCGACAAGTTCCTCTATCTAATGCACAAATTAGATAGGGTTTAGATTAATTTGGGTTCTTAATTCTCTATAGAGGCAAGCCCTTATAGTTAATTACATCACAAATGACAAGAGTCATTTGAGAAAACTCTCGATAATGATTAGAGATTTTGTCTTCAAGAATTCAACGTTTAGGTTTCCACGATTGTTTATAGGAAAATCAAGTGGGATAGGTTCGAATAGGAGCAGTTATTTCGGGAATCTAAAGGAGTGGAGAGTAGGAGATGTCGAAGATACCGAATAAGATTCAGTGATATCTCAAACTAACCTATGATTTGGCTTTACATCTTTGAAAAGGAAATTATATAATATTTCAGTCCTGCAAGTTATTTAGATATTCGAGGCTTATATCTACATTTCATATGTAAATGACCAAAGGAAATAGGAGGAATCATGTCGTATCAAACGACTACCTCGGAATCTTAAAAAATTTAGGACTTATATCGTACGATATAAAAAATCGTAAAAAGTTCTAAAAGATAATGTGAGGATTTACGTCATGCTAGACGAACGACTTCGACGCCCTATAAGTATGTTATTTGAATCTATTGAAGTTCGGTTGAAGCTCCTCTTTCCAACTTCTGTTGTAGTTTCTACCGTTGTCCGGAGATGAATCGTCACTCACTCGCGTCGTCATTTCGTTCTGAGAAAAGGGATAAAGAAAAGAGAAAATCATGCCTCCAACGGCCTACCCTAGGGTGTTATACAAACATGCTAGGGAAACAATATTTAAAAGTATGAATACAGATGAATGTCTATAGTACGATGCAATACAGGAAAGAAACAACTGTGTAGTAAAGCACTTTAACAAGAAAAGACTAAAGGAAAATTATGAAAGTAAAGCGATATAAAGAAAAGAAAGACTATGCAGTAAAGAAAGGAATATACAGTAAAGAAACAAAAATGAAACAACTAAGTGTACCTGATAATTATGGTGATGCTACAAAACATATTACAATTGCATGATATAAAGGAGTTAGACAAATATTTGCATATTATAAAAGAAAGGTTGCATGATCAGCATATGAAAATTTTAAAGTGGGATATTAGCTTTTAGTTTGGGTTTAGGCTCAGACTAGACATCTTTTTCTCTTTTATCTCGATCCCACAAGGCAACTGATATATCGAAGTCAACTTATCAATATCAACTAGAGGTCACCAACGAATCACCCCTATAATCAGGCAGCCCTAGACCCTATTATCTAATGGATTGGTAAACCCAACATTACCTGGACTTATCTTGTTAAAAATATAATGTACCCATGTGAGATAGTATATGAACTTATCAGGGTGTAATGTGCCTATGTGTGATGTTAGGATAAATGATGTATAATATCTGAACTTATCGGGGCATGGTGTGTCTATGTGTCATGTTAGGATAAATGATGTATGATATCTGAACTTATCAGGGTGTGGTGTGCCTATGTGTGATGTTAGGATAAATGACGTATAATATCTGAACTTATCGGGGTGTGGTGTGTAGTATTTAGACTTTCAAAAGAAATATAATATATATTCTTGTGGTATCTGTCATGTGGAGTGTCTAGTGTGTAATATGTGATGTGTTGCAAATGTAGTATATGTAGTATAGAGTGTAATATGTAATGTCTATTATGTATCGTGGTATTTGTGGTACAGTGTATGAAATGAGTATTTGTTCCTTTTGCAAGTGTAGTATCTACATAATTGTGTATCTATTCTTTTCTAACTACTAATTCTCAAGCCTTTTAAAAAGGGTTGGAGATGTCGATGACTTAAGGGTGAAAGAGCATCTCACTAATTGAATATCGATTTTTATATTTTCAGCTATAAGAAGAGCTGATCAATGGTTCTTTGCATCATTGTCTGTCACCCTGCACTTCAAACTTATATCCCACTTTAATAATTCATATATGTATTAAACAATTTTAGATGCCTTCACATTACAAGACCGAAAGAAACAATTTGTCAAATACTTCCACAGCATTAAACTTTCATTTCAGGTTCAAGCTTCAAGCATATATATGTAAATAATAATAATAATTGTATGCTCTATATACAAATCTCTAAAGAGAGTATGCTTATATTCCTTGTTCCGGCTTCAGCAAACCACCATGATGACAAATTTTGAATTTCCAAAGTTCCAAGTTTCCATGCATGTGTTAAGTAACAAGTGTGTTAAGATTGAAGTTAATATGTTAAATATACCAACACTTAAAAAAAAATTCGTGTGACATGAATGTAAACTTCTAGGGATAAGTAAAGAAAAACAACATATCCATTATTTGCATATTTGTATAATATATCCAACTGTATCAATAAAAATAAGAGGGTTCTTTACATGATGAATTGTGAATGCTCATAACAAAAGAGTGAAAAGGAGGATGAATTATAGAGAATTAATGAATCAACCACTATCAAAATAGTTAACATCCACTTGAAGCAGGTTGTCGGCACTATTTTTCGTGTGGGGTTTGCCCGTAAGAAGCTGTCGGTCATTGGAATTGAAATCCCGTTGCCCGCTTCGGAAGGACGTTTTTTTTTTTAAAA